AGGTCCCCTCCCAACTTATAATTCTGTTTTTTTTTTTTTCTAAATGACCCAGCCTATCTCACTCACTTATCTGGCTCAGGCAGGTGTTTGTCTATCTCTCCCTCTGTCTTTCTACCCATCTTTCTGTCTGTCTATTACCAGGATTGGGAAGCAGGTTATGGAGAAAACAAAATGGAGATGAATTCTCAAGTATTCACAAGTGGCCTCAATTTTTTGCCTTGACTTGCCGTGTGTAGGTACAACTTCTGTCTGTGATAAAGACCTACTGAAAACATATAGATCAAGAAACTGACAACTTAATCATCGCCTTACTACTTAGATCCCTAACACATTTTGACGTGAGCAAACTCATAATTATATTGACCAAGATGATTTATACTTCCAAGTGCTTAGTTGAACTTATTGGGTGAGTGGTCTTTGCATTCATTTAGTTCCTGAGACAAGCACTCTATGTCTTATTGAGGCTTCCACTTCATTTAGCAGTGGTGTCTTTGACCAGGTGGGAAATAGGAATTTTCTTTTTTTTTTCCAATAATATACATGCTTATGATGAAGAAGATGTTTTTAGTTTATTCTGGAATTTCACCATATGGGACCCCACTTTTTAAAACAAGAATGATGTATGAAAATGAAAGCAAAATCCCTATTATAGTACAACTTATTCTTACATGGATTCAGATGTGTCCTGCCTCAAATCATATCTCCTAAACATAACTACTATGCATTATAAAAACCCAATGTAAAAAGTCTGCTTATGGTGTGGTATTGAAGTCCATCATCATTTTAAAATTAACATACTTATCATCAGCAAACTTTTTACATCAGATTTTTGCAAAGAACTACCATCACTGGGCAAATGAGATATGGTGTTCATCACTGTGCACATGTTAACCGATTTGATTTTCGTAACACTCTTGTGAAGATAAGCGATGGCAATATTGTTATCCCTGCTTATAGATGTGGAGACTGAGGCTTAGGGGAGTGCTCAAGGTTGTTATAGAGATAGCAAGTGGAAGTCAAGTCCACTTCTTTCCCACCCACTTGGTACTACTTAGCAGTTGCCCCTTGTGCTGGGATTATGAAAGAATTCCGTTGAACATTGGTGTATGTGTGTGTGTGTGTATATGTGCATATATATGCACACGTACACACACATATGTGTATATGTACATATACGCACACATGTATACACATATATGTATATGTACATATATACATAAGCATACGTATATATACATACATATATGCATGTGTATATATACACATACATATATATACACACATATGTCATGTAGTCTTACAAAAGTGTTTAGCTTTGATATTAAGTGATGAAATTTCTAAATATTCAGATATGTCACTTAAGAGAAGATGAGAAGCTTGCTAATCAAAGTATAACATTGCTGCACTTAGGAAAAGTGAAGAGATCATCAAAACCGTGAAATATTCTGGTCAAAGCAGAAGAATCTTGTGCAGTTTTCTTATTTGGAAAGATTTCAGAAATCTTGTCACTGAAGATGAGCTCTTTCTATTGCATAGAATTTGTCCTTTTACAAGTATTTCTATGTTTTGAGTTTGTGCTGTATTTAATTGGCAGTCAGCTAGACTTTTATATAAATGCATTAAGGATCATTAAGGAGATGGGAAGCTGTTTTAGTAAACTTACTACCCATTCTCCCACATCAACACATTTGAATAACTTGTTTAAGATGAGATCAAACATCTGAGATATTTTTCTTAAGTTCAGACCTGATAGCTTTTAATGATTTATGCTGCTGTTAGTGACATAAGGGATTATCAAAAGAAATCAAATGATAAGCATGGAGTTTAAAAGCACTTAACCAAAAGCTTCCTTGAAAATGCATGGAAAGAGCTCATTTCCACATAGCACTTCAAGGTTTCTGAAGTGCTATACATTCACGTGTTATTTCCTTTGAGTTTCATAATAACCCTACAGAGATCGGAGTAGATGTGGGGAGGGTGGTCCACAGGATGTTCCAAAAATTTCATTGTACAGTTACCTCTTCTGCATCGCAGTGGTTAGGGGCATAGTGCCCCTCTGATCTGGAAAATCTGTGTAAAAATTTTTGGCCCTCCCTTTGTAACAGAGAAGTCTGAATTTTTTTCTTTTATGGGGTGTTTACTTATTGTAAAATTTGGGTTGATGTTATACAATATTATACATATATTTTAAGCATTTCTAAGTTTCTAAACTTTTTCTGTGTCTTCTGCTGGCCTTTGTATGTAACCTGTGGCTTCTGCAAACCCCCCCCCCCAACTTCCCATTTAATTCCCCAATTTAATTTCCCATAATATATTGTAACTGCGATGGGGAAAGTCATGATGTGGAAGGGATAACTGTAGTTTTAAGTTATTAAAGCTTAAATTAAAAAAAAAAACCTTTAAGTTTTGCTAACTCATACACCTCATACAGAGAGCTGGCTTTGGAGTCAGAAATCCTAGATTCAAAGCCCGCCTCACAGGTCCACTCACTGACCCTCTCATTGCTCTGGACCAAAGCAGAACTCCCAGATTTGTGGAACTAGATTAAAATGGGATTGGCAAACATTTAACAACCTAAATAAAAATACAACACAACACAAACAATGTTAATTTGTGGTTTTCTAGGTCACTGTGTTAGCAGGGAGTGGTCTCTATTTGAATCTGACACCACTGGTCTAGACAGCTGGCTGACTATACATTTCAGCAGAACTGCTGATCTGCGTTGTAGAAAGTGTTTCCTCATTGAGGAGTTCCTGACACGTATGAAATTATGGATTCTATTAAAAAAAAGAAAACTCTCTCAAACCTGTGAAATAGTAGAATATGTTTAATGATCTCATTTAAAAGATTGAGGATATTAAGTAGGAATTAAATTAATTAGGCATTAAAAGACTAGGGCTAGAGAGTTACTTAAGAATATGTGATATATATTGTTAGAGGAATTTAACATATTGAAGTATGAACAATACCACTCTGGTCCAGTGTATTTGACCCAAAGAGATTAGTACCACAGCTAATGTATCTGGTCTTTTGCTTTTTGCTTAACCAATAGAATATAGTGTAAATATAGATATCTAAGTAAACTATGTATATGCAAAAATTTGAGTTTATAAAAATGACAAATTATGGACCGATTACTTGTTTTACCAAAGGAATCTACACTTTACAAGAAATTCCGTCAGAGAATGTTTTCAAATAGGAGATTTCAATTCATTGTGTACTGCTCCCCAAAGGCAGTGATTTTTGTCTTTGTGTGCTTAGGGCCTTGCACATAGTAGTCACTTAAAAAGTGTTTGCTTGTTTGAATTGAAATGAGTTCCCCAATCATCTATGTGATTTGATTTACAAAAATATACATAAGCCCTTTTAGCAACACATTTATTGTTTCGAGTGAGGTACGCATGAACATTAGAGAATAAATTTTATTATGCCACCACTATCGTTATGGAAGCATAAAGACAGCATATAGCATTTCCCTTACAAAAGAGAGTTTTTCTAAGGCTTACATTTCTTAGACTTAGCCATTCCTTGCTCTTGTATTCTGACAAACCATTTCATTCCGTGCTCTGGACCAAATAGGGAAGGGCTTCTAGGTTTCTCTTCTAAGTTACAATCATCAAGGCCATTATAAGTTTATGAAGTTCATGGAGTATTGGGTATGGCACACGCTATTGGAATGGACCTATTTTTGATTGTTACAGTGTTAATCTTTCATGTATTGAAAGCCATTAATGAAGCTTCCTTTCCAGCCTTGTGTAAGCAGCTCTCAAATGGAACAGATTCTTTGGATGCCAAGGCTGTCTATGGAGAAAGGGCAGCTGTATTTAGACCCAATGAACTTCACGCCTTGTATCATTCTTCATTCCATTCCATTTGTATCATTTACTATGCATTATCTACTGTGCATGTGGGTGTGAATTCAGGCTTTCACAACAATGTTAATGGAAACTTGATTAGTACAGGATACATTCAACACTCAGAAATGTTGCCTCTGTATTCCTTTTTTTTTTTTTTTGGTATTGACTGGAATAATTTCTAGAACTCGTGAATAAAACATGAAATAGTGTCAGAGTAATTCTATAAACATTAAATAGTTGATTTGAAAACAGAGTATATTTATTTTTCACAGGTTGTTCTAAATGCTACATAATGTCTTTATATATTTAATATTAGATGTATATGTTTAATTTTTATTGCTAATTACAAATATTTCATCAACAAATTTATTAAGACAAGTAGGTCCTCAAAATACATTTTGGAGGGGGCTTGACTTGGGATCCTTTTCATGCTTTCTTTATGGACTTCTCTAACTTTGGCTTTTGTATCTCTGGTAGTTTTGTGAAATATAATGTGTACCTCTGTTGTTTCTAGGCCAAGATGATTGCCATTAATCTTTAAATTGCATTAAATAGCTGTTAGTAACCACGATTCTTTTTCAGCTAGAAATATGAAAAGGGTGATCATGGAACACATTTAATAATATTACCACTAGACAAAATTATAAACGATTTGAGAACATCCCAAGTAATCTACAAATAACAAAATAAAGTCTCATGAGGCAGATCTTGAGCTATTTATGCACATGGGATTTAGGAAATTTGGAATTGGGTCTCACATCTGCTACCTTTTAGCCTTAGGGTCTTGGGCAAGTAACTTAACTTCTCTGTGAATTGGTTTCCACAGCCTGGAGATGATAATAGTTAGACTACGTGCCGCATTGGTTTGTTGTGAGGAAAGTGCTCGGGAAACCTTAAAGAACTATGTATTTATTTATAAGCCATAATAGACATATTCATTGTTAGAAGCAGGCACGATTCAGGCTGTATGCTGTTCAAGGTCAATTTTGGAATGAAATGAGACCCTAGCAGATTATCCAACAGGTTAAAAAAAAAGATCTCTTTAGCCATAGCATAGAAGAGATATTGAGCACAATACACAAGAATTTAGTTTGGGCAGATTTTTGTTTGTCTTTATCTTCATGTGGTCTCCTTATGCCCTAGTCAGCAGGGAAGAGTATGGTGCCTCTCAAGGACTTGGGACATCCACTATGTCTGAAGGGCCCTGACTCTATGAGGGTGAGTCTTTTTTAATGGCGTTATTGTGACCCATAAGCTATGTCAATAGAGATAGAAGTTACCAGGAAGTTTCATCAAGGGAGCCACAGCTCAAACCTTAGTTTTCTAAGCTAATCAGCTTTTAGGGATTATTTTGTTGTCCTTTGGGGAAAAACTAGCCTGATCTTTATGGGGGGTGGGTGAGGGAATCCTGGTAGATAGTGGTTTTATTAAACTCATCATCAGTCATAATCATCAGTCATCCTTTTTTCTTTTGTATCCTTTTCCTTATTGCTTTTTAAAGATTTATTGTAGTGTAATGAATATTGACTAACTCCAATAAATACTTAAATAGGCATTGTCTTTCATGAGAGATTGTACATTTACAGGGGAAAATAACATGTTGATAGAAAACTTTCATGTCATTGATTACCCTTTTATTTGATGGATTTATGTGTGTTGTGTGTGTGTGTGTGTGTGTGTGTGTATGTATCTTAAAGCAAACCCACCATAGGTATCATTTTTTTTCCAGTTATGTTCAAGGGGATTTCACAAGACATAGGAGCTTTGCAGTAGAAATGGCAGCACTCCCAAAATGAGACATGCCTTCCTTTGACTCTTCAGTGTCCTTCTGATTGGTATCTCATAACATACAGAGGTAAGAGTACTCTGAGGATTTCATTTTCATGAAAACTTGTAATTTCTTTAAATGAATGATTTATCGTTGTAATAAAATCTCATAAGTTTTTATGCTCTTGAATGTGACAGACTTGCCTAATGACAAAACAGTAGCATCTAGCAAAGGTGGTGCATCCTGTGTTTTATATCTGGTGCCCTTTGGATGTAATAGCACCATCCATAGAGGTCACCTCCCCAATTATACTTCCTTTTCTTAAGGGAGCTGCATCCAAATGGGAATATTTCATTGAAGACTGCTTCCCATATATTCCCTCTCATTAGTGACACAAGATAGAAATCTAAAAGGCAACTTGGATAATGTGAATGTTTTAAAAAGTAATTGAATACATTATTTATGTCATTTGAACTTAAAATATATTTCCACTCAGATGATTTTGGTTTAGATTCCAGATATGATGATTACATTATGCTAGTAAACATAAATATAAAACTGAGACACCAAAACAGTGGTCATAAATGTAGTTGCTTGTGTCTTAGAATTCTGAACTCATCATCATCAAGGGGCAGTATAATAAATAGAATGCTGGGTTTGGAGTTAGGAAGATCTGAGTTCAAATCCTGCCTCAAACACTTACTATGTGACCCTGCCTCAGTTTTCTCTCCTGTAAAATGGAGATCATAAGAGCACTTACCTCACAGGATTGTTATAAAGATTAAATGAGATAATATATGTAAAGCACTTAGCACAGTGTCTGATACATACTAGACATTTAATAAACACTTTTCTCTTCTTCCCCCATTATAATCATCATTATTATTATGGGAGGTATTTTTATGGCATTTTAATACAGTTATTATTATCCTCATTTACATGTAAATAAACTGAGGTTCAGAGAAATTGCATGATTAGTCCATAGCCACACAGCTAGTAGATATCAGAGACAGAATTCAAACCCAGATCTTCTTGGGTCTAAGTCTCCATTGCTTTATCCTCTACACCAGTGGTGGTGTCAAACTTGAATAAAAATGGAGCTATTAAACTATACATAAGGATCCTTCTGGGTGCATACCAACTTAGAAAACCACTAACATTATCCATGTTTTATTGTGTTTGTATTTATTTTGTTAAATTGTTCCCATTTAAATGTTAATTTGATTCTGGCTGCACTTCAAGCATGTTGCCTATGGTTCGTGACTCATGTTTGACACTTCTGCCCTACATTACAGTGCTATGGTGCTCTTCATCCTCCCCTTCCTCTTCATACTTATCAGATATTTAAGTCTTTATTTCTTTGCTGTATTGTTCTAGGTGATATACAGATTAATATTCTGGATTTCAAAGTATCCAGAGACAAGTGCCGTGGATGTATGCCATAATCTTAGAGGTGGGCTTCTAAAGCAATCACAACATCATGTGCAGAGTCAAGAGCATTTTAGAGAAATGCCTGAGGGAGGCAAGCCTATATTTTACAGGTAAACTAAATCAGTGCCAGACAAGGAAAGTTCCCTTCTCAGAGAAAATACATGATGACAGAAAAAAAATTGAAGAAGATATTGTTGGTTAAATTTTGAAATAAAGGAGAAAAGCAACCAAATGTTAATATTATTAACCCTGATCAAAATTAATTTTAACCACATTCTTGTCTCCTTACACATATTACTTGTATTTATAGATTCTAATATAATGCTGTTTTAACTTAATTTTAGATTCCAGAAGACCTAGTGAAAGAACCAAAATGTAAATTAGAATCATACATTAGCAAAAGCTGGAAGGGACAGGTATGATTGTCCAGTCGACTGACCTCACATATTTTGCCAGTCAGAAAGAAGAATCCCAAATAATGCGCTACCAAAAGTCATAGACTTTATAAAGCGACAGAGCTGGGATGAAAACTGAATATTTCTTAAGCAAAACCTGAACATTTTTGCTCAGAGGTTAGATGGAAACAGTTTTTAATCAGAGAAAAAAAATGAGACAATAAGAGATTGAGTCATGAGAGGAAGGAGGCCAGTTCTATAATGAAAAAAAATATGGAATACTTCTTGGATGTCATTGTTAATTGTTGTGAGAATATTGTCACAAGTACCGGAATAAAGACAATAATGCTTCTGTCATTTTAATCTAATTTGGATATTTGTCTTCTACCTGACTTGCAGGAAAGAGACATTTTTTTTTCCCCACAAAAATGACAGGAGTAAGACTCAGGAAGAAACTGACTAAAGAGCACTTATGAACATAAACTGTAGCATTTCCCTCCTTCTAAAGCATGGCAGAGGCATGATAGTAAAAGGGAACCCTAGGGAGTCTATTAACAATTTAGCATTTACAGTTCACCCAGGAGTGTTAATTTCATTTACCAAAGAGGAGAGAAATGATGTTCATTACAATTATAAACTTGTAATTTTAAGAATGTAGAGGTGTGAAATTTATCATATTATCAACATTTTAAAATATAAAATGCAAATATGGTAGTAGAGTAATTAGAGGTTTAGGTTTTACATGGATCTTCTGCAAAGTTTCTACCATTGAAAGTTAAATATGGGAACAGTTCTTTCACAAGGTATAAGGCACAGTATGGTTACAAAGTGAATTATAGGTATTATTTCCTTCAGTCCCTTCACTATTTCTGTGAAGTAGGTGGCACAGTTATTATTGTTCACATTTTAACAGATTAGAAGTTGATACCCAATGAAGTTAAGTGATATGACCAAGGTCACATGAATGATAAATGGTACAGTGAAGATTCAAAGTCAGTTTTTCTGATCATGCCCAGAGCTCTTCTGTATTGTGATGCCTCTATTTTTTGTAGTTACTTCAACTGGTCACTGGTGGATAGGGATGAGAGCAGAGGACTGGACAGGAGGAGATTAAAGGGAACAGAGCAGGAAAAGACCACAGTCCCCAAAGCCCAAAGGCATTTCTCAAGGAAATTGGGTTCAAAGACCTGGATGCTTTTTTCCAATAGGTTATTTGCATGCCATCCCTCCTCTCCCCCCCCCCCCCGACTTTAGGCTTCCACTCCTCTCTATGAACTACTGTTTGTTCCAAGGTCTGGTTATTAATGTAATCTATGGGGTAGGGAGTGTTTCACATGAGGCTCTATATCCCCAGCACTTAGCACTGTGTCTAGCATACAGTAAATGCTTCAATAATGTTTCTTGAAAATTGTAAAATCATGTCCACATGGATCCTACAGGGAAGGCTGGCTCAATTCTGACCTTGAGTATAACAGAGATGTTCTGAGGATTGGTGGCATAGCTTAGTAAGGCTTGGAACTCTCCACCTTCCTCAAATCATTTTGCTTTCTTTTGAATTGGGCTATCTACCTCCATCATGTGATTTTATTAGAGTCATCATTTCTTTCCCTCATCAAAACACTCCCTCCCCTCTCCTCATCTTCACTTGCTATAATCCTTCTCTTCTTTGAAGGTTCATTTCCAGTGCCTTCTTCTCAGTAAAATCTTCCATGACCTTTTCATTTTCCCCTTTCCCCAAGTTGTTTAGGCTCTCTCTTTGAATGTGTTAGAAGTACTTTCTCTGGCTCTCTTTTTTGTGGTTGCACCTGGTATTGTAACATATATATATCTGTGTACATACTGTGTCCTCACTAGTAGAATGTAAGCCCCTTCAGAGCAGTGACTGCCATTTGTTATCTTTTCATCATTAGTACCTGGCACAGTGCCTTGTATATGGTGTGTGCTTAATGGATGCTTATTCAATGACTAGTAAAACAAAACTTACTTTCACAAGGGGCTTTAATATATACAAAGCATTTTACATATGTTATCCTATTTGATAAGTACTAGAAGTACTATATCTATAAACTTGCTTATTGTACAGACGAAGAAATTGAGTCTCAGAGAAGTTAAGTGATTTGCCCGAGGGTACACGTTTAAGTATTGGAGGTAAAATTCAAGCCTAAGTGTCTTGATTTTGAGTTTGTTGTCCTTACCACCATACCTCCCTGAGATATAAGTAAATACATCAGTATTTATCCAGTTTTGTAATAGTGACTATTCTGATATGATGGCTCTTTTTAAATGCATTCTACTCCTCCTAGAGGCTTTTTTTCCCGTTGTTTCATTATTACTTTAGTGTTTTATAATTTTTACAGTTATAATTTCTACATTTTGATATACAAATTTTAATTCTTTTTATCTCTCCTGGAAATTTAATAAAGTTACCACCTCCAATTTCCCTGCTATTCATCAGACTATTTATTTCACTGTTTTCATAAATGATCTGAGCAATGGGAAATATGAAGGGGTTAAAGAATTGCCAGGATTGATCAAGCCTGCTCTTTTTCTGACTCTTGAGATGGTGTTGACAGCCAAATGATGAGTTTCTTCAATAAATCCACTCTCATAGTCAAGTCTTTCCAGATGTGAGAAGTAATTAAGACTCTGCATTTATTGAGGCTTTGTGTACTTTCTGAAAAGAAATTGGCAGCTGTGATGAATTAGCTACATATATAGCATATATGTACATATTGCATATAATGTATGTGCATATGTACGACACATAAAGCATATGCTATATATATATATAAAACGGAAAACATGTATAATCTATAAAACAGATACATATGATACAACAAACTGAAAACCAAAAGCTAATTCCTATAATAATTATATATCACCAGTGAAGAGGCTGGACTTTATGCATTTTATTTTGTACCTTTTCAAAGGAATGTTTAAGTGAAGGGGAAATAATTTTTAAAAATACTAAATGTATAACTTAAAATTTTTCTGACTCTAATTCCCAAAGGTACTTTTGGTGATAAATTTGTTTTATTCTCTCATTCCTTCTTTTAGTTATTGCCTTCATCTTAGTCACTCATTTTGGGACTTCCAATGAGGAGTAACTTAGGATTGATGGAATGATAGTAGTATCAGCTTTAATGTTATTAAAGTGTAGCTAACATTGCAGATAGTTAGCACATTAATAAACCAGAATTGTCTCTTCTGACTAGGAATAATAATGTTCCAGTATAGATACATAATATGACCTCTTCTTTCATTGAAATTAATGGGTAAAGAGCAGAACTCCAAAAGACTCATGATGAAAAGTGCTGTCCACCTCTACACAGAGTACTGATAGACTCAGACAGCAGATTGATGCATTTTTATATTTTTAAATTTTTTCTTGCTTCCTTGCCCCCTCCAGAATATAGACAGAGCAGAAATGTTTTATAGGACTTCATGTGATTAATGGGTATCTTGTTCCTGACCATCTCAATGGATTGAAGAGGGGATGAAAGGAGGGAGAAAATTTGTAACTGTAAATAAAAATAAAAAATTGTAAAAATAAAGAAAATAGTAAAGAAGACAAAAAGAAAAGAAATGAGTGGATAAGGGAGGACATACTCTTGTTTTTTTTTGTACCAGATAGGATTCACTTTAAAAATTCTATTTAGAACCATTGTATAAAATGTCTTCTATTGTGTATTCTTTTGGATTAGAACTTAAGCAGTTATAGTAATAATAATAATAATAGCTTATATTTATATAACACTTTAAAGTTTGCAAACACTTTGCATATTATTTCTTTTGATCTTTACAACTACTTTATTAAATTGTTATCTTCATTTTACAGATGAGGAAAGTGAAGCTGAGAGGTTAAGTGATTTGCTCACAGACACACAGCTAGTAAGTATCTGAGGGAAAATTCAGACTCGGGTCTTCTTGACTACAAGTACAATGTTCCATTTACTATGTTAAGAATCAGACTATTGATGAAAAAATATTATCCCCTAGGTTTATGCCAGAGGATATGGATATTTGTCAGTTTTATGGAAGAACACACATACATGTACACACACACACACACACACACACACACACACACACACACCTACACCTGGTATTGCAAAAGTTTTCTTGCAGTACAAGCTTTAATAATCTTGTTTAAAAAAATGGAGAACACCATTTGCAATTATATCTTAGTAACAAAGGTCATATCAGACATTAATTACAGGTGGTTACAAAGTGTAGTAGAGAGAGCACCAGTCTTGGAGTCAGGAAAACTTGAGTTTAAATATGCCACTTCCTAGTTGTGTGACTCTGGGCAAGTCACTTAACCTTTCTCAGCCTCAGTTTCTTCATCTGTAAAACAAAGATCATAATAGTAGCTCCCTCCCAGGGTTGTTGAATCAAATAAGATAGCATATATAAAGTGCTTTGAAAATCTTAAATCGATATATCAATGTTAGCTATCATTAGTAATGCTTTACGTAAATCCTTGAAGAACTGTGTAAATACTAATTATGTCTATTATTGTTCAAGCTACCTTCTCTATGTTCAGCTTGGTTTCTTCCTATCAAAGTGATGATAAAAGGCCCAGGAGGACAGAGGTTTGATGAATGCAGCTTTCAGAAGTAAATTAGACAGCTATTAACTGGGGTTCTTTTTCAAAAGAAGACATTTTGAACTATCATTTCTACATTTCTCTTCCTAAGAAACCATTTAAAAGAATCGTTGCCTAGCAAAGTCCTCTTTCAGAAAAATGTCCGAATATAGGCGAATATGTGAGGTGAAGGTAAAATAAGCAATTGTTATGCCGTTGAAAATGATGATCCCTTTGGAAAAGGAGGAGAAAGAAGATACAGACAGCCAGCCAGATAGAAGAGATAGGGAGGAGACAGAAAGACAGAGCAGAGACAAAGAGAGGAAAAAAGAAGAGAGGAGAAGGGGGAAGGAGGGAGGAAAGGCGGAAAGACAGGGAGAGGGAGGAGAGGGACAGAGAGACAAAAGAAAGACAGGAGGGAAGAAGAGGGAGAGGGAGAGGGAGAAGAGAGACAGCAGAGAAAGGAGAGGGGGAGAGAGAGGAGTGAGACAGAGGAGGGAGAGAGAGAAGGGGGAAGAGAGGACGTAGGGGGAGAAAGGAGAGAGAGAGAGAGAGAGAGAGATATGGAGGGGGGGAGGGGGAGAGATAGAATTCTTTCAGATGACACACTGAGTGAGTGCTTAACAAAGTTCCAAATCCCCAGATGGTGCTCCAAAAATGTGAGTTGATGATGATGATGGTGGTGGTAAACAACTGGCTTAATTTGCATCTGCTTGCCATGTTTGAAGCTAGTAATTTAGAGTCAGTGTTTTTCATGAAAAAAATGCAGCTATTTCAATCTTTCAAATTGTATTAACCTATTTTATCTATACGAGTTTTTACCAAACTCAGAACTTGGTCCCTAGCTCCTTCCTTGTTTATCATGTTGGAGAGAGGAGGGGATAATATCTATTACACATATACTAAATTATATGTATATATGTACACACAAACATATATACAAATGTATATATCACAATACATTTTATCTCATATATAGCTACATATTTATGTAGAGAGACATGTATATGTATGTGAAAGGTGGGGACAAAAAGGATACTGAGTAGTAAATATTGTTCAAAAATCCAGAGATGCTTATACCATGTAATCCTAATAGCACTGGAGACAGACAAGCAGTCCCTGACTCATTGCTGTAGTCCAGCTGTGTTTCTTTGGGCAGGTGATTTGAATTACCCATGTGACTGGGCAGTTGCTATGGAAATACAAATGCTTACATATAAACAGCAAACCTAAAAAAGATTAGAGGCTTGCTTATCATTAGTGTCTAAATGTTTCTGATTTTAAGGTAAAAATAATTGGAAACTTCTCTTGCCTTGTGGGAAAGAGGGTGGGGTGGAAGACTGATTACATTATATTACCCTTTTCTTCATCATCTGTGCCTATTTGTACAGTTACTAGTAAATCTTTTATTGGGGAATTAATGTCCTACATTGGGATGGTATTTTAATTTTTTTTTAAAGGTATTTATTAACTCTTAAAAAATTCATATGACACAGACAAATATTGCCATTTTATAAAATGGAAAAACTGAGTATGATTTGCTTTAGGAAAGGTCAAATGGTACAAAAATAATTTGCCCAAACTCACCTGGGTACTGGATACTGAGGTCCTTCCCATTAGACCTCAGTGTTTAGGTCCTTAGCAGTACCTCTATTTCTGCAGGAATAAAATTACCAAAATAAATTTTTGAAAAAAAAAATCTCACAACGTGAATGAAAATCCTCAATAAGTAAAAGAGATTAGGAAAAATCTAGCAAGGTTACTCCCCTCTTGGGGAATGTCAACTTAGAAAATGTGTATCACATTATAATGTTGAACTCTTTTTTAAAAAATGGAGAAAAAAACAAATTTGAGAGGAAATTCTGAAATAAGATAATTATCCATGGAGAATACTCTCTTCTTATTTCTTGAAACAGATCTTTGGAGTGTTGGCAAGGGAGCTGTGCTGCGACATATCACGTCATGTTCTTTTTTCCCCCTTTTAGAGGGACATTGATCAGAATTGTGTAAGAATTTTTATTGAAAAGAGGGATGTAACTGTCTTAAATCACAAGTAACTGTGGCTTTAAGTTGTCAAATTCCGTGTAAACAGGTCAATCTAGTAAGGTTTTATTTGTGAACTAGTGACAATGAATTTCTCCAAGATAATCTCCTTGCTTCTAAGAACCTGTGAAATCAGATTTTGACATGAGGCAACCTGGCTTTGTATAGAGAGTGTGAGATTTGTTTAAAAAATCTGAGTTCTAATGGTGGTTCTGCCACTGTATTAGTCACATTACCCGCCCCCCTCCTTTACTTCTCTCTGAATGAAAGGATTAAACCAGGTGACCTCAAAAGGTGCTGTCTGTATCTTAGACTATTTCTGGTACATATTTTAAAAAGAAAGAGCCTAGGTTTTTCAGGTCATGATTCTTAATTTCTTGTGCTTTTTAGAAGCATGGTGGATACTCAGTAAGAATTTATTGATTGATGGGCCTTCTGTTCCAATTAATTCATTATGTCAAATATTAGAAATATAAAAAAAAAAACTGTCCTCCTTGAATGCAGAAGGACATCGTGTAGTTTGTATAATAGGATTTCTCCTCACCATATTGGTTACAAATGGTATAGTACCATAAAACATTGAATTACACCTCTCAGAATTTTGGAGTGGCTCTCTGTCTAAACTGCTAGTCATTTGAAGGAGAAGAGGAAGTCAAAACTTTTTTCTCATCTTGGCTTCCCTCTTTCCACAGCTATTACTGATTTGTAACAGGGAGGACGGGATTATAGTGTAGAAGATGAACATTGGACTCAGATTCAAAACATATGGGTATGAAACATAGTTCTTGAGTTAAATGTGCGACTCGGGACAAGTCACAGCTTCTCTGAGTCTCAGATTTCTCATGTATAAAATGCAATTAATCATACCTGCTTTACCTCTGGGGTCATTGGATCCAATGATGTAATCTGTGCCAAGTGTTTTATAAACCTTGAAGAGCTACGTAAAGACAAACTGTTGAATAGTAAATTAGTTAGGAGCTTTGAAGGGAATGGTGAAGAAGTCACCTTTGGTGACTCCTTCACCATCTCTGATTGCTCATTTTATTTATCTGTAAATCTGGGATAGCAATACCTGTTGTTCATTACCTAACTCACAGGCTCATTGAAAGGATCAAATTAAAAAAAGTATGTGAAAACCCTTTGTAAATTATTTTATAAATGAAAGGTATTATTTCTGAGAGAGAAAGTAGAGCTAGAAATTAGGTCTTAAGACTTCAAATTCAGTGCTGTCTTCACCAGTGTTGTACTTGGCATCATCTCGATAGTAAGATGAGGGATCATTTTGTGAAATAAAATCCTTTTCTAGTAGTGTATCTGGCAAAGGTACACGAAACTCTGTAACTACTAAACTGAAACTATTATTCTTTGGAGTTCACCAGTTTTCAAGTACTTGGCACAGCAATCATAGATTTAGATTGTAGAGATTATTTAGCCCATTTCCTTCATCTTACAGATGAGGAAACTGAGGCTTACTGAGGTAAAGTGACATGAACAAAGTTATATGAGACAGTAAAGTAGCAGAGATAGGATTTGTATCCAAGTCCCTTAAATTCAAACCTGTTTTTCTTCCTTGAGCACCTTCCATTGGCAGGGGTTCACATAGCGTTTTTTCAACCTTTTGCCTGGTTTATTCCAGTAACATCAACTGATCTTTGCACCTGCATTCTCTTGTTTCATCCCAACTTGTGCTCTGGTTTAAGAGATATCGTTCTAATACTCAGTTCTGATTATTTTATTCCCATATTTGAAATCTTCGGATGCCTCCTTGTCTTTCCAAACCTTGCCTCCCAAATAAAGTCCAACCTGACATTTAAAGCATTTTGGGATGTTCCTCCATCATGCCTTTTCCAGTCTTACCTGACTCTCTTCCTGTCTACATAGTCTAATCTTTTGCCAAACTGGACTTCTTGATGTATGTCCCATGCTTTCCCACTGCCATGATTTTTGTCATCCTATTGATTACCTGTCTCTATAATATCCTCTCATCTCACCTGTTGAGATGCTCCTGTGCATCACAGAAGGGTAAGCTCTGTGCTATCCTGTGTCCATAGGGATCAGAGGAGCAGCTCTGACTCTGACAGTTATGTTGTTGAGGAAACAAAGAGAATAATTTCTGTCATTGTATACTGCTTTGTTCATGCCATTCAAAAATATTCACATATTAACCAGTTAACCAGTATTTGCCAACATAAAAGTATAATCAAGTATTAACCAATTACTTCACCTAAGGTATTTTATTTCTCTTCTTTTTTTCTTTTCTTGGTCTTTCCCTCTACTTTCTATATTCTATTCTTTTTGCCTTTCCCCTTCAACCCTTCTTCCCATTCCCTTCCCTCCTGCAAGACACTGGGATCTCATCTCAAAATGCAACATAACATGGAACTAAAGTAATGTGGGATTTTTCTTTTGTATTTAATTCAGTACGTTTTATAACAATCACTGGCAGATAGAAATTTTGAAGTTTTAAAGTCTTTTTTTATTGGAACCTTACAGCACCTCTGTGAAGAAGGTAGTATAGCTATCATTGCTGCCATTTTACAGCAAAGGATATTAAAGCTTCCAAAGGGTAAGTGACTTACCTATGGTCATATAACCAGTAAAGGTCAAAAGCTGGTTCTGAACCCAGGTCTTCTGACTCCAAGTTTAGTATTCCACTGACTATGCCAATCTGCCTGACAGTCTTCCCATCTTTTCTTCTCTTAGATTTAGAAGTGAGTAAACTGAATATTATTTATTAAGAAAATCTTAAGTTGTATTTTGGTTTTGACTCTCAATTTTTCTTTTCTGCTGTCAGTGATTGAAGAAAGAGTAAGGCATTTGGAATTTTTATATATACCAGATTGAATTTCTTTCTCTCTCTATCTTCCTCCCTCTCTTTCTCCCTCCCTCCCTCCCTCCCTTCCTCCCTTCCTCCCTCCCTTCCTTCCTTCCTTCCTTCCTCCCTTCCTCCCTTCCTCCCTCCCTTCCTCCCTCCCTCCCTTCCTTCCTTCCTTCCTTCCTTCCTTCTTTCCTCCCTTCCTCCCTTCCTCCCTCCCTTCCTCCCTCCCTTCCTCCCTTCCTCCCTTCCTCAAACTGAAACCACAGTGGTATGGTAGAAGAAGCAATGGATTCCAATTCTAGCTTTCCCATTAAGCAATTTAGTAATTAAGCAATTTATGTAAGAATGAGCAGACTTAGACTCTGGTCTTAATTCTGCCACTAACTAGGATCATAAATTTGAACAGGTCATTACCTCTCTTTCAGCCTCAGTTTCTCCATCTATAAAAGTGGCAAAGCTACTAAATGATCTCAAAAATCATTAATTATTGCTTCCTCATCTGTAAAATGGGACTACTATAAATTGATACCAAAGTCCCCTCTATACATTGCTTTAATTTTGTGGTTGATGGTCTAACAAGGTAGACAGCGTATAAATATGTAAAGACAATAAGCAAGGCAAGGCAAGAATCATTCAGGCACTCAGTGGGTGCTCAGCACTGGGCAGGTGTCAGGGATACAGATACAAGCAAAAAGAAAGACAACTTCTGACCTCCAGGAGCTTATATTCTAATTAGGGAAGGCAGCACATAAAAGGGTACCTGAAAGCAGGATTGTGGGGGTGGGGCAGGGGTACCCCTGACAAGGGATGGCAGCAAAATTAGTGGAGTTAGAAACCTAGCTGGGAAAGAAGCATGACCAGTCTGGGCTTGTCTCCCAAATGACCTTGGATTATGACAGACAAATCAGATGGCTTTCTCTTCTGAAAAACATTCTGCATGGATTTTTATTTTGGGAGTAAGAATGGTGTTAGAAAAACAAATTGCTTTAACTTACCTATGGAAGCAAGTGTCCTTACACACACACACACACACACACACACACACTCCCACACACACACACACACTCCCACACACACACACACTCCCACACACCCCAACACCAACTTTACACGGCTTTAAGCAGTTTCTAAAAGTGGGCCTTTTTAGAAAATGATCTCTAGATTGTGGCTGTTAACTAGAATTCCCAAGGAGACATTCATCCCTCTTAAATTGAATTTAGTGAAAGGAGTGAAAACTTTCTAAACTCTTTCTCCCCTCCCCTCCTTCCCTTCCAGCCCCAATGTAGAAGTATGCCTGACATTTAAGGGAAAGCCTGATTTAGATAAGGTTGGAGAAGCTTCTAGATAACAGGCTTTAGGCTTTCCATATCTTAAGTGTTATAACTGGGCAGTTTTCTCATAATCTTTTAAGTACCTCTGACCCTTTCAACCTGTTAGTTTTATGAATGGTCTCTTTGTTTCCAAGAATTGAATTAGAGAGCTATAACTTAATCTGTTCATTTGAATTTCTTAACTAATTTAAAGAAAGTTGACTATAAAAGATCAGACAATTGAATTTTATAAGTTAAAAATTATTACTGCTCCTGAGGATTGTAGCTGGCAAATTGTCCATGATGCCTTTCTGTTCCCTCATGGCCAGTTGAGATAAAGGATGTCAAGTGTGAGCTAAATAAGGAAGAGGCCTTGGAAAGGTTAAACGAAGGGCAGAATAGCAGTCACTGAGATCTCCAGGAAGCTCTCGTATGTAAAAACGGTTACACTGGTAGATTTTAAAATTTTAAAGGAATTTTTCAGAAACAGCAAACATGAGAGTGCCCATCTTTGAGGATTGCAAAGATGAAAGTGAAGGAGAGAAATCTGGGGAAGAAGATACAGAAGATGAAGAAGAAAAGGTAGGTAACACTCATTTCCAAAAGTGCTTCACTGAAGAGCTGTTTTGCATTTTACAAGTTGAGTGATGTTGGATTTATTCTCCCCTTTTCTCTCTCTCCCTTTTTTTGGGGGGGGGGGTTACAGGTGTTCCTTAAACCAGTCATTGAAGACCTAAACATGGAATTGGCTAGAAAATGTACCGAGCTAATTAGCGATGTAAGTAAATGAAGCATTTTATTTGTAGCATGCATGGTATTGTATTGTAGTTTTAGAGCTTGCAATGACTTGGTAACTTTTGAGATCATTTAGTTAGCTTTGCCATTTTTACAGATGTGGAAACTGAGGCCGAAAGAGGGGTAAAGCCGTGTTCAATGTTATGATACTAGTTAGTGGCAGAATTAAGACCAGAGCCTGAGTCTGCTCATTCTTGCCTGGTATGGTTCTCTTTCTCCATGCCATCCTACAATTCTGTATGAAATAATGTACATTGAACTGTAGAATATATTTCTTTTTAAGGAATAGAATTTGTTTCATAAGTACTATATTATTTCTTTTGGGAGGAGTTTCAGCTAAGTGATGAAACTTCAGAACCAAACTTGGAGGGGAAGCATTTTGTTCAGAAGTTTGTTTGGTGCTAGTTGGTGGCCCAGAAGATTAATTCACCTCATGCTATGACATTTTCATTCTATCGTTTCACTGGAATCACTACAGAAAATCTAGAAGACACAGAGAAGACATTGCTGACCCTTGTTTACACAACACTGGAGAGTGTTGTTGCTAGAGCAGAGGGAAGATGGCACATTTCAAGTGCTTAAATGGATGTTCCTTCATTCGTTTAGAACAGAAAGAGATGACATTTCATTGTTTCATTTGTTTGGTTTGGCCAGGGTTTGGATTGATTTTTTTTTTTTTTTTGCTTGCTTTCCTTTTGTTTTTAAAATGATGAAAAGGATCAGGGCATTCTCTGCTTTTTTGTTTCTTCTCAAAAGGTCGAATATTATACATTACTTTAGAAACAACTCTTAATAGAAGGAGTTTATGTGTATGGGTTTGTACTGTTTTCTGGTATTTCAGAGAGGTCCCAAGAGTAATGGTCAATGTAGATGGGTGTTCTGAATTCCTCTTTATATCAGATTTCCTCTACTACCCAAAGCCTTGACATTTAATATTTCTTTCTCATTATGTCACTTAAACAGCCAGAAATACTATTAAAATTTTAAACTCAGAAACCCTGTAGCAAACTATATTGTGATAGAGATAGATATTATTCCTAAAACCATCCCAGTTTAATAATTGATTGTAATCTACTGATCTCCCTACTTTTGTCTTCTTCCTCTTTTATTTCATTTAATACGTTATGAAACGAGATATTTGTAAAGTGCTTGGCACAGTGACTGACATGCAGTAGATGCTATATAAATTTTAGCTATTATTATTAATATTAATTCTCATGCCAGAATAATGTTCTAGTTCAGATGATGGAACCCTCTATTAAAAATTCTTGATGGCGCTCCATTGTAGAAGACCTTAAATGACCTTTCCAGTAGCTATTTAGTCTGCTTTGTGATACAGTAATCTAGTTACTTATGCCCATTACTAGATTGTAGTCTACTTGAAGGAATGGCTACCTCATCGTTTTGCCAAAATGACCGTAAAAACATAAAAATAATCACTCTGAGTGAGAATTATAGTCTAGGCTACCCAATATGTAGAAGTGGGGCCAAAGGATTATCACATAGTAGGGCATGGTAGTCTTTCCTGATGGCAGCTTCAGGGTTTAAGTGTAGACATTCCAACATCCTAGTTTGTTGTAAGTTATGATGCCATCTATGAATTAGTCTAAATCTTTGGGAAGGTATTTGTTTTTAGTCTGTGCCACCTCCTAGAGTAATTACTTCCTTAACTTTACTTCCTGTTATATTAGGTAAGACTGCTAAGATTCAAGAGGAGGGATAGCATAGGTAGGAGACCTATAGTGGATTAGAAGTCCAAGGACTTGGGTTTGAATCCCAACTCTTCTACTAAAAACCTTTGTAGACATGGCCAAGTAATTTCAAGTCTCTGGGCCTTTGTTTCTTCTTCTAAAAAAATAGTAGGTTTAGACTGAATGGTGAGATGACATCGTATGATCCAAAGAGTCCTGAGCTTGACAACAGAAAAAGAGAGTTCCAGTCCTAGCTCTGTCCCATACTACCTGTGTGACGTTGGTTGTACATTGCTGTAGAGCTGTAAGGGACCTTATATGTTATCTTGTGGTTATTTAGTCTTTTTGAGTCATGTCTGGCTCTCCATTTGAGGTTTTCTTGGCAAAGATACTGCAGTGGTTTGACATTTCCTTCCCCAGCTCATTTGACAGATGAAGAAGAAACTGAAGCAAACACAGTTAAATGACTTATCCAGGGTCACACAGCTAGTAAGTGTCTGAGGCTGGATTTGAACTCGGATAGGTGAGTCTTCTTGACTCCAGGCCTAGCGCTCTATCCCCTGTGCCACCTAGCTACCCCAATATGTCATTTACTCCATTTTATAAATGAGGAAATTGAGTATTCAGTTTCCTCACCTCTAAAATGAAGGTATGGAACTAGAAAAGGTCTAAAGTCCCTTTCAGCTCTAGACTTGTCATCCTGTGATCCCTTCCCACCCTAAACCTCATGATTCTGATCTTCATATCACACAAATTCTGGCATCCTTGGATTTAATGAACAAGATGTTGACCCTATCCATTCCTTTCATTATTTTCCAGACACTGATGAAATTCCCTTAGCTTCTGGGTTTTCAGACTGAGCAGTCTTAATTTTCATTTTCATTCTGGTATCATAAAACCACCCTTTTTATCTCAGTCACTTTATTTGTCTTTCTCCAGATTCTGATAAACTCTGTATCTTCTTTGAAGTTTGGCAAGAAGCAATGTAGAAGAAATTATTTCACTGAAGGCGCCATCTTTAAAATCTTCCCAGATGCCAGATAGTAGTTATTATATATTAGATGAAAATCATTTGTTCATTTGTTCATATATTTGATGAATTATACACAAAACCCCAGGTGTTGTTGCACCCATACACTGTGCAAAAGTGTGTTTTTTTGGCAATACCCTTCCTAATGATGACTACCATTTTGTCAGGTTCTTTGCCTGCAGAAGCAAATCTGCTTAATATCTTCAGGGTATTGTTGACAATAACTCTCGAGTTGCTTCCCTGAGCTGTAACAGTGCAAAAATCCATCTTCTTTTAAGTATGCTCTACGTTATTTTAGAGCTTACCAATGTAGAAGCTCACTTTTCTGCTCACTCACACGTCTTTGCAAGATCATCTTGTAGTTTATCTCTATCAGACTGACATTTCAGAGCCTGGAAGGCTTCAATGGCAGTTGCTAACTTGTTAATTTCACTGTGTGTTCCTCCTTCCGCATCATTTATAAAATTGGTACTGAAAGCTGATCCTAAGACCAATTTAGGGCTCCCAAAGCTCATGGTTTGCCCTTCTTTGCACCACTCATCACATTCTATCTTATACTATCATAATCTGTCTATATCTTCTCTCCTCTAATAGATGCTATGTTCTACGTGAAGAAATATTGTAGGATTGTAACTCTAATATTAGAAGGGCTCTTAGAGGTAATCTAGTCATTTTATGGGGCAGCTAGATGGTGCAGTGGATAGAATGCCGGACCTGGAGTCCGGAAGACTCCAGAGTTCAAATTTGGCCATAGACGCTTACTAGCTGTGTAACCCTGGGCAAGTCACTTAACCCTGTTTGCCTCAGTTTCCTTGTCTGTAAAATGAGCTAGAGAAGCAAGAGGCAAACTACTCCAGTATCTTTGCCAAGAAAACCCCAAATGGGGTCACAGAGTCAGAAACAACTGAAAAATGACTGAACAACAAGTCACTTTATAGAAGAAGAATAAGAGGTCCAAAGAATGTTAAATTTCTTTTCCAGGGTCACACAAGTAGTGAGTTTTAGAGCTCACCTTTAAATTTACGTCTTCTGGTCCCAAATCTAATACATTTCCATATACTGTGCTAGGATTACATATTATTAATTCATATAGCCTCTATCATGCCCACCACAGTGTCTTATCTAAAGTTAGTGCTCAATACCTTTCTTTTTAAAAGAATGAATCACTTTAGATTAGATGGTTTCTTATGTCCCTTTAAACAAAGATTTTCTGAATTACTGTGGGGTTTCATTAGTTAAAATGCTCTTTCTCAATATGTGTCTGTTTATTGTATTTGTCAGTTTCTAATCTTATAAGGTGGCTCCGTTTAAAAAATGAATGTGGAACTGAGTCAAAGGCTTTTTTGAAAGTGAAAAAAAATTAAATACATTGTTCTCCCTTGATTCTTATTTACCTCAAGCAGATGCAAAAGATAGCTCATGCATAATTTTAACCTTATAGATACAATTTTGTCTTTGTCCCTGTAGAGCATGTTTGTGTTTCTTATATATCCAGCTATCCTATCCTTTATTCTAGAACTTCACGAGTTTATCTGATATCCTCATTTTTCTGGAGTTACCAGCAGACGTTCTGGAAGCCTTTTATGAATGAGAGTCCATAGACATTGACCACTTGCAATTATAAACTAACAGTTCTGTCTTCACTTTTCTTCAAAATCCTCTGATGTGTTATACATGAGATAGGAAGACATAAAGGACTAGGAATCTGTATTGATGGATTGGGTGATCATACTAATAAAATGATTGATCCATTAACTTATTCCATCGAATCCAAGTAATTTATTTACATATAGTTTATAAGCAAGGTCTTGAACATCCTGAACATCTTCTGCTATTCATACATTTATTATTTCTGAATTGTTTACCAACACTTAAAAAAAGGCAATAAAAAATTTCCAAGCACTTCCTCCATAAAGATTAGAACAAAAAATTAATTTAGTTTTAGCATTATTTTTCGTTCATTTATGATTGAATATTTTGAGTGGCCATGTCAAATGGTCCCATTGATTATTCATTTGATTTCCTTCTTTGGATGTATTTAAAAATCCTTTTCTTGTTGCCTTTAGGGTTTCTTATAAGGTACATCTTATATTTTTTTTTACCTACCTAATTTCTGCTTTGGGCTTGATCGCCCATGTTCTTTGGATTTTCTTATTATTTATGTTTTATGTATTTAATTTTTTTTTCTCTGCGTGATGATGTTTTGTTTTTTGAAAAGTTGGTAGTGAATTGTAGGCTCAAGTGTCCTTTTTTGGGAAACCTTGATTCGATTAGTTCAGTCAATAACTAGTCAGCTCAATTAAAAAAAAGTCAATCAAATATCTTTTAGACTAAAATGACTAGTTCTTTCTACTGATGATGTCATAGGTCTAGGTTATGAAAAATGCAACAACCCACATGGCCAATGCCCATCTCCTTTCCTTATGAGAGGAAAGAAAGTATGCACATATTACCACTTCTGCTGCTGCTGCTACTACTGCTGCTACTGCTTACTGTACCTATAGAAATGAAATGTTCTCCTTGTTATACAAAGTATAAGTTTTCATTATCTTACCTCGGAAATAAAAGTTTGAACTCAGAGGCAAGGAAATTCCACTAATTCTGGCACAAAAAAATAATACTAATGTCATTCTTTACCCATGTAAAAACTGGGAATTATTTCCTTGTTGTCATTTTAATGGAAAAAATTTGGTGGGAACCATAAAATTAGAAATGTATATTTTATAATTTATAACTTATATATATTTATATTTATATAAATAAAAATAATTTATAAATAATATATAAATATAATAATATAAATAAATATAAATAATTTATATTATCCATTATATTTATTTATTTATACTTTATAATTTATATTTTATATTTTTGTAAGCCACTTTGTTTTTCTTTTTAGTTTATGAAAAAACAAGCATTTACATAACATAATAGAATAAAAAAAGGATAATTGCACTTGAAACTGCATACAACTTGCTATTCCTTTTATACATATGATAAAGTTATCGTATAAGTTTCCTTCTCCCACTTTTTTTCCCACCTTCCCCACCATAGAGTTGGCTTCCATTAGACACATAAATGTGTGTGTGTGTGTGTGTGTGTGTATAAACACACGCACACATGTATTATATATATGTATATATATGTAAAATCATCCTATACATACTTCTATTTATGAGTTCTTTCTCTGGATGCAGATAGAATCTTCTTTCATAGGTCCTTTATAGTTAATTTGGGTATTTATAATATCCAACATGACTGGAAATTTCAGGGATAACCATCAGTTGGGGAAAGCTGAACAAGTTGTGATATATGATAGCAATGGAATAAGACTGTGAAGTAAGAAATGGTGAGCTTGTTGATGGTAGAAAAACATGGATAAACTTTCATGAAATAATGAAGAGCAAAATGAGCAGAATCAAGAGGATGTTGATAGAGTAACAGCAACATTGTTTTAAATAAACAGCTTTTAAAACATGGGAGAAAAGAAAGGGGAAGAAAGAAAGAGGAGAGGGAGAGAACATGAGGGTGTGCATGAACCCTGTCTTTTCTATTTGTCAATTCAACAAAGAAAGAAGTTAAATATTTAACCCTTTTTCTAGTACTCATGTCCTGAACAAGTTACTTATGTCAGTGCTTATCAGGAGGCCTACACTGCATAACTGCACACAACACTACAGTGAAGAATGTGAAAGTGACGAGAAAAAGGTGGTGGTAGAAGATTAAAAATAATGAGTCAAACATTTGCCTAATCATTATCACAGGTCATTTTGCTGTCACTTAGTTATATAATGGGAACACTTGCATTTTCTCTCTTTCTTTTTTGAATATACCAAAGTAACATTGTTTATTGTATCATCATCATTGCTTTGATTACTGAGTTTAATGATTCCCCAAAATCCCAAATTATATCTAATATCTGAGGAGAAAGGGAGAAATTTGTTTGCCAAATACTTAAATTCTAATGCTTTTTCAAACAATAAAGGGGTAGGCTTGGCATCTGAAATTTAAGGTAGATGCCAATTGCTCATGGACTTAATTATCTTTAGGAATCATTGCATAGTTGAGATGCCTGCTATGATATGATCTGCTGTTACTCAGATTTGGCTACACCATCAGTTAAGTCATGTCCCTGAAATAAAGCTGCATTAGACAAAAGGCCTTGCTAACGTGATTATTCTGTGAATCAGGTGACAATCTTATTCCCTAGCACCAGTCTTGTTGTATTTGGTGTGATGTTGCCAAAACTGTGTTATATTATCCCTTATTATGCTGCCCATTAGAAAAAACAGATTTCTTATGTAAGTACAACCATTTCTTCATTCAGCTGCCCAAATGGCTTTCCTAATGTATATGTCACATCATTACTCTGCTTTAAAACTATCGCTGGTTCTCCATGATCAGGTACACTCCTTTGCCATTCAAAGCCTGCCAAAATCTGATTCCTACCTACCTTTCTTGTATTATTTTACACTCGTCCCTTCATGTACACTGGAATATTCTATCAACACTGGACTATTTTATGTACCCTGATATTTTCCTCTCTTTTCCTGCTTCCATTGATGTATAAGCCTTCTTCCATGCTAGGAAAGCATTCTTTGTCTCCCCTTCTCTGTGCATTGTTTTTATATGCCTTCAAGACTCGCCTTAGAACCCACTTCTTCCATGAAGCCTTCCCTGATCTTCCCCGTCCCCTAACTAGAAATAATCCCTCCCATCTTAGATATTTTATAGCATTTTGTTTGGCTATGTACTTAATTATAGCTTAACTTGAAGGGTTTGTTTTTTGTTTGTGTTTTGGTACATATCTCATTTACCCTTGCTAGATTGTAAGTTCCTGGAGGACATGCCATTTGAAATCTTTCTCACCCCAAGTGAATGAGAGGCAAGTATAATATAGTGAATAGAGAACTAGGCTTGGATCCAGGGAGATCTGGGTTCCAGGTCTTCCTCTTACACATACTGTGTGACCCTGGGAAAGTCACATAACTAATCGGTGCTCAAGACAGCTCTCTGAGAAGTAGTAAAGAAGCTGGGGACCTCCATTGACAGGAATTTTCTCATCAGGGAGTTCGCTAGATCATTGCAATCACAGGACTAGTTTATCTCTGTCATATTGTCATATTTCCCTGTGCCTAAGTAAATACTGGGTGTTTAATCAATATTTAATTATGAAATTAATTTCTCTGTGTATATGTATATGTGCATACATACACATCATAAGGGTTTTCTCATTGCTCTTCAGGATGACTTCCAGTTCCTAGGCATTATTGTTCTTTTTAATTGTTTGCCATAAGGATTGTTACATATTTAACCAGGACAGTATAGTATACTAGTTGGTGTTCTCACCTATAAAATGAAGAGTTTTCACTTGATTTCTCAGGTGTTTTTCTAGTTTTTGATCATAGAAATTCCAGTCATCTTTATGCATGTGGCAGGGAGGGTGCTTTTTGGGAAATTAAAAAAAAAGTTTCCTACCAATTTTGTTAAAGAATATATGATAAAAATTGTTTTTTTTCCTCTTTAAGTTCAAACATATTGTTTTCTTTCTTTTTTTTTAGATCCATTATAGAGGAGAGTATAAAAAATCAAAAGACAAATGTACATTTGTACCTGACACACCTCTACTAAACCATGTAAAACGTATAGGTGCTTTTATTTCTGAGGTAAGATAATGGAAACTTTAAAAATATTTTATTAATAAGTGTTTCATCCCTATAAGCGTGTAAGTTGGATAACATACTTGGAAAAAATCAGATTAACTTTCTATTAAAGACTTGTAATTTGTGTTAATACGTTAATATTAATTTAAATAGTACTTGTGAGATTTTATATTGAATTACTAAAGTAACTATGTTAGGATGCATTATTTATTAAGTTACTTTTCCAAGTGCATTGTAATTGCCAGTTTGTTGTTCTGTAGGATGATGTCAAAAGATAGATATGCTTCATACTGAATATGTGTTAAGAACATTTAAATTTTTTAAATAATGAGTATAGGATTAATGTAGTTGGCAAATATGCAGCTAATTTATTTTAATTATTAATTATAAGGTAGTCTGAGAAATAGTAATCATTGTTACCACTTTACAGTGATAATTGCATATTGTTACCCACTGGCAGAAATTGTCAGTGGACAATGAAAAAATATGCTAGACATATTTTTTCCATTCTAATGATATTGATTTTGTTATTAAGGCCTCTTATATATGCATCATGCTTCCTGAAGTGATATATAAGAAATGTATACATTCATTAGATCACAATCCATCCATGTCCTCTTACCAAATAATTCTTATAGGGTCATATATTTAGAAGAGCAAGGAACTTTAGGGACCACCGAGATCAATCCCCTCATTTTGCAGATGAGGAAACTGAGGCTATCAGAGGTTAAGTGGTTAGTCCAGAGTCACATAGCTAGTAGGTGTCTAAGGCAAGATTTGAACTTGAGTCTTCCTGACTCTAATTGGAGTATTCTAGCTACTATGCTACCTAATCCTCCATAGAATCCGCACCGTGAGCTTCAGGGATTTCGCTAGATCTTTTAGTGTTTGTTGAATATAAATACAATACTCAAGAGGTCCAACTATTTGGTTTGTTCGTTTCTTCTTTCTATTCTTGCTACATGATCAACACACTTCCTTTTCCAGCCCTTAAAGACTGACCTTGAGGATATCACATAGTACTTCTTAAACATAAGTCATGACTCATAATATTCTGTACCCTCCCCCAAAGGTGCAAGTCAAATCCCAAAATGCTTATTCATTGTGCATGATTTTTAGCTGTGACCTCTTATCATTCTTTCTTTCAAAGGGGATCCACGGAACATGCTGAAGGTTATTGCAGAATCGCTTCATATTTCAACCCTTCAGGGACTGTGATGCTAAAGTTCACAGAATCACAGCATCAGAAGGGACTTTGGTGGCTATCCAGTGGTCCCATCCACTCCTGAAAAAAAATCCTCTCTCTGAGAGATGGGAGGCTGCACGTGGTCACCCTAAGTGAGAAGGATCACACTATATCCCAAAGCAGTTCATTCTTCATATGCGTAACTCATTTTAAAGAAAAGGAAACTGAGGCTTAGTGACATGACTTATGATTACACAAGTAGTAAGTAGAAGAACTGAAATTTGAACCCACATCTTCTGACTCTAATCTAAGTATTCTCAAAGAGACCATTAGAAGTAATAGTTGGAAGTGTAAAGAAGCAGATTTGGGCTTGATGTAAGAAAGAATTTCCTAGCAGTAGGAATTATGCAAATGAAGAATGGACTGCTTTGGGAGGTAGTGTTATTCTTCTCATTTGGGTTGACCATATGCTGGGTGTGACCTTCAGCATCACAGTCCCCGAACAGCTGAAGTATGATGTGATTCTGTGATGGTCTTCAATATGCTTGGTGGATCCTCTTTGGAAGGAAAATTGATGAGAAAGCATGGATAAAATGAACGAGCATTTTTGAATTTTTGACCTGCAACCTTGGGGGAGAGTGTAGCATATTATTGGCATCATTGGGGTAGGGGGAGGATCCACATCAATGAGATCCACTGACGCATTCATTTTTTTGAGCCTTGAATTTTGCCTTTTTTATTACCTTTGTAGAAGAATCTGTAGAAATTGTGACCGTGCAAATTTGAAGATGCCTAAGACCTAGACAGGAAACAGGGTAGCAATTTGAAAGGAAATCCACTTAAGTTGCAGTACTTACCATATCTGCAAAAATTCTGCCCTTTTCTGACTCTTTCCATTTAGTTTTCAGGTTTCTCTGAATTCTTTTCTGTGAAAAAAATTAAAAACTTTTTTATGGAAGAACTTTAAATATTTGCAAATTGGAATATGCCTCATGATTATTTAAAGAATCTTAGGAAAGGTTAGGGTAGGAGAAAGGTGGAAATGAAGGACAATGCAATTTTCTACCAAAGGTGATTTCACAGGTGTGGGGAACTCCTGAATGAGGGGACTCTCTCTATCAGTGCACATTGGCACCTTGTCTGCGTATTGCATTGAAGCATAAAGCACTGAAATGAGAGGTTACATGATTTGCCCAAGGTCGCTTAGCCTATATGTATCAGAGCCTGGACTTGAACTCCAGTCTTCTTTCCTCTTGCCTCTGAGGCTAGCTCTCCATCCACTGTGCAATGCTGCCCCTAGCAGATTTTTGTAGGGTGATGAAAATGTTAGCAGATCAATAGAGTCCATTCATTTATTATGAGAGTGTTGGGTGCTATGAAGGATATAAAGATGGCCTGTCTAAAGACCTGCATAATATTATAACTTAACAATGTGAGATTTTTACTCAAATCCATTATTATTTACATAGGCTAACTCTGATGATCTGTTGGATTTATATAGGACACAGAACAGATGGATTAGCCACATGGCTGTTTGTGAATGCGCCCTTATTTCCTTTCTTAACAAGCTCATTAAATGGTTTTAAGTATTGAATGTCAATGTGAATGAGCTTGAGAAAAGCACATCCATCGATTTTGGTACAGCTATTTTATATGATCCCTTCAGATCAATAAAAACTTAACTGTCTTTAACTTTTTTTTTCAAATGTGAGGTAAGTCAATTCAACAAATATTTATTGAACCCAACAAGTAACAATTATGAACTGGTTGAATGGCCAATACAGTAAACTATAGTGACTAGATTGATTTTCCACTTGTAGTTATCAGAAGTTGAAGTAGACAAAGGATATGAATGTTTTTGGGACAGTTTCAAACTCTGAGGGAAAAGGACAAAATAAAGTCGATATATATGTATATATACATACACACATATATACACATACATACACACATATGCATACATACCTATATACACACATATGCATACATATACAATATATAGGCTTTGGCATAAAATTTCCCACTTAAATCTGCAAACCCTTACAGACAGCCTACGTTCTTTGGGCACTGTGCTGGAGATGTAGAGACAAAAATGTCCTTGTTCCTGTCCTCAAGAAGTTTACAATTCAATGGTGGGGAAATGACACGTGCTGAAATATAGGGCCAGAAGGGGTTGGGGGTGGGGGGAGGCCAGACATGCTAAGTTTAAAAGAGAGTTCCAAGAAAAGTACTATGAGAAATTTGAGGAAGGAAAGATCCATTTTAACTGGGGAAGGAGGTGGTGATTGGGGAATTGGGCCATGAATAAAAACGAAGAAAAATAGGCAGAGATGGGCCTGTCTTATTCCAAGTATGCAGGACTCCATGAGCAAAGGCACGGACATAAATGGAAGGAGACAGGAGAAGAAAATGATAGGGGTTGTCTAGTTTCTCTGGAGCATAGTATGGAAAGGAATGAAATTCTTTCAATCATTAAGCATCAGTTATGTGCAGGGTTCTATGTTAGGGGTTGTGGGACCTACAAAGTTTAGATAAAACCCAATTCCTGCCCATAGGGACATTGTCTAATAGAGGAGTAAAATACCAATACAGATAATGAATGTACACTATTACATGATGTCATAAAACAGAAAGCTTTGTTATGCCTTAGGAGGAAAGTAGCTACTCATAAGAGAAGGCTTCAGGGAGGAGGTGGCATTTTGGTCTCCAAAAAAAATTTTGGCTCCCCAATGTCCCCTGTGCTAATTTACCTCTCTGTCTTTGTTCACACTTTTCAATGTACCTGGAATGACTTCTCTCCCTTTCCCTGTTGTTATTCCACCCACTAGGTCCCCTAAGGAGGGCTGAACCAGCCCAGTTTGGAAATGTAGTGGGTCAAAGCTTCTGTGCTGATCAGTACTGGGATTAGGCCCATGATTGGTCAGCCTGGAATTTTTCCTCTTAATTTGTTTTATATAATTTAAAATGACAGAAAGGAAACTACTGTAATTTGTTATCACTTTCCTAGAATAGACAGTTGTAAATACATGTCTGGGGCTTGGATTGAAGTTAGGTCTAGAGAATTAAATTTGGGAGTCATTGGCTTTGAGGTGAGTTTAGGGGACAGAATGTATAAACGAAGAGTACACAGTGCACTGCCTTGGGGAATGTATGTAATAGGAGCTTTATAAATGCCAGTTAATTTAAAAAAACTCAACCAAATTTTTAAAAATTTATTTTGTTTTTGATGGAATAAAGCAAGCATTTTTATAAAATAATATAATAAAAAAGATAATTGCCCATGAAACTGCAAATCTTTTGTGTATAACTTGCTATTCCTTTTAAATACACAAAAAATCATTGTGTAGTCAACTGAGTATTAAGGATAGTAAAAGGAGACAGAAGGAAAAGTCAGATAGGAGAATCTGGGGAATAATGTGTCATGGAAGCCAAGGGAAGGTAGATCATTGAGAAAGGTAGTTTAGTCAATTGTCATTTGCAGACAGAGTAAGGAATAGCCCTGGAACCCACAATATTTTGTTTTTAGGAAATCATTGAAGACTAAGAAGTGGAATTTGAATATTGTGAATAGCCGAGGATTGAGTGTATAGTGAAAAATGGAGGTGGTGAATATAGACCTCCCTAGAATCTTAATATTAACATCTAACATTTATATAGCTCTTTAAGGTTTAGATATACTGCTTTAGATATATTATCTCACGTGATCCCCCATTGTCCTTGTAAGGTAGGTTCTACTCCATTTCACAACTGAGGAAACTGAGGCAGATAGAGGTTAAATGATTTGCCCAAATTTCTGAGTCAGGATTCAAACTCATGTCTTCATGATTCCAAGTCTGGCACTTTATACGCTATATCATCTAGCCGCTATTAATAAATATTTGTTGATTAGTTCCTCCTCATCTGTAATGCAGCTGTTTTGCTATGTACTTTTCCAGTGAATGGGTTTTGTTATTGTGATAAGTGATTATTTTAAAAGAAATTTGTAAAATCTGGATTGCTTCTTTCTTCTGAATCATTTTGCTGTGGAGTAGAAAATGGGAGTAGGCAATCTGTTGAGTTTATATTTTACCTGCTCTTGCCAAGAGGAAGTTATGTGAGTGGGTATCATTCTGCCTTGGTAGATTCAAACACTGAATGTGGAGAATTAACAGCATTTTTTAAAGGCTGTGGATAGAAGGAAGTTAATCATTAGCTATTATATAAGTTAGTTATCTTGGTCTTTGTATTTAGGTCTTTTCTAGTGAATTTTAATAACTAACTTTCTCAAAAATTCACATGTCTCATTTCTCTGGTGTTTGTTTCACCACTCTCCAAAATGTACAAACATCTTTAAATCTGCAAATACATAGATAATTTTGCTTTTTGAAACTTGCAGAGAATTAATGGAAATAGCAATATTTTTACTTCCTTGCTTACTTCATTCAAAGTTGTCTCCACAATTTCATGAATTCAGTTGTCATCCATCTTTTGATACCTTGCCTAAGAGTTTCAGTATCTAAAAGTCTTGAAAGTATTTCTTTTTTAAATATTTGATCTTCACTTCAATTCCAATAGAATGGTTCTTTTTAATCCTCTTTCTATATTCATGGCAAAAGACAAAAATGTTATTTTTTTCTTCTGTTTTACCAGGCAAAGTACAAAGGCACCATCAAGGCAGACCTTTCCAATTCGCTGTATAAGCAGATGCCAGCCACGATTGACAGTGTATTTGCAAGAGAAGTTTCACAGCTTCAGAGTAAGGTAAAATTTTCCAAATCTGTTCTTTGATCATGGGAAGCAAGAGATATAATCTAATAAAAGTGATTATACATAATTATTATTTACAATGGGTAAATAGAATTGTTTATAAAAACAGGGGCTCCAAAGTTGAATGACAGTCAAGACTCAATGGTGTATGTATTGTATCTATTTAAAAAAAAAGAAAATATATACATAATTATTTCAGGTAGAGGACAATTTTTTTTTATCACAAAATTCATTCGGTAATGCTTTATGGTCATATGACACATTGGAATCCCATGTATACAAATTTCCTTGAAGATAACTTGTAGAAATTACTTTGTTAAATGTAACTTGCTATGTAAGTATCAGTGATATCATCATCATCATCATCACCACTCGTCATTGTTGTAGTCAATGTCATCATCGTCATCAACCATCGTCATTGTTGTCATTGTCTTTGTCGTTATCATCTTGGCATTTTTATTTTTGCAGGGAGCCCTGAGGTATAGAAACTTAGCCACATATATAATGGTTAGTGCCACAATTCCAATTCAGTGCTCTTTTAATCTGATCAATATTTACTGAATTTCTTAGGTCTGTGTCTCAGTAAATTCCCACTGAGACCTTTTCAAACTAGAGGATTAGGGCATTGCAAAAGTCAGGTAAAACTTGACATTTTAGAAGCTGAAAATGATAGATACTTTTGTGCTACCACCACCTCTAACAGCTCTCTAACCCATGCCCTCCCAACCATCTCCAAGCTCTTCATTCCCAAGAAAAGGATGGTATCCTTAGCTGTCTATTGTGAACTGTCCTTAAAAGATATGAATCTCTTATTTCATAACACTATGTTTCTGGAGAGAAATATTCCACACTACTAGGAAAGTCCTACTAATATTTTACAACCAAATACTCGGAATCACAGAATTTCAGAGTTGGAAGACTCAGCAGGCAGCACATGCAACCTATACTTGAAATGTACACTAATAATGTATGTTATAATGTACACTAAATGTATGTATTATGTACCATATGCCATGTATAAATGTACCGTAATGTACACTCAAAGTGATATTTAGCCTCTGCTGGAAGCCCTCCAGTGAGGGGGAACTCCCTACCTCTGAAGACATTCTATTTGTGGATAGCTCTGCCCTTAGGAAGTTTTTCATGACCCAAACTAAATTTACCACTTCTACCTTCTGGGAGTCAAACCAAATAAACCATTTCCCACATGATGGTCCTTCAAATGCATGACGTCCACAATCATGACCTCTGTGCCTCCGGGCTCATCTCTTCTCTAGGGTAAACATCTACGATTCCTTCAAATGATTTTAAAATGATGCGAATGAAAGGCCTTCACCACTCTGGTTGTCCTCTCTTATAAGTTTGCTAGCTTATTAATGTTGTTCTTAAGTTATGGTGCCTAGAGTTGAACAGGGTACTTACTCTCTTTGAGGTCTGATGAGGGCAGAGTACAGTGGGATTGTCACTTCCCAGTCCTGAGACCTCTCAGTACAGGTCAAGATCACTCCAACTTTTTGGATTGTCCTATTACACTCCTGACTCACACTGAGCTTATAGTCTGCTAACAGCTCTTGATACTTTTCAAACTGCTGTCTAAGCAAGGGTCTGTCTTGTACTTATGAAGTTGATATCTTGAACTTACACTCTACGCTTTACATTTGTTCCTAATAAATTTAATGCTGTCAGCTTCAGCTCCATTCACCAACCTGTCAGAATCTTTTTAGATCATGACTCAATCATCTATTATGTTAGCAATTCCTTCCAGCTTCATGGCATCTACCAACTTTAAAATCATGCTGTTTGTGCTTTTGTTCAAAGCTCTGCTAAGAATGTGAACTAGCCCAAGGCCAGTGGCAGATTCCTGGAGTGTTCCACAACAGACTCAGGGCTGTATTGGCATCGAAGAATTAACTGCTATTTTCTTTTTAGCAATTGCCACTTATCACGAATGGTTGGGATTATAGTTAAGACAAATCATGAAGAATGAGCCAAGAAGCTGCTAGAATGAATGGAAAGCTACTTTTCGAGCCTACATTTAACTGGTTCCAGATCCATTAAATTATCCCATTGGTTACCTACACAGCAGGGCATAATGGATAAGAGATCTGGACCTGAAACCAGGAAGATCTGAGGTCAAGCCCTAGTTCTGTTATCCTGGCCAAGTCACTGAAACTCTCCATGCTCTAGGCAACTCTCAGGTTATAAATTGCAGAAAAGATGTCACCTTGCATTGGTAGCATGCATTTCCTTACCTATGGTTTTCCTGTACCAATAAAATTACAGGTCTAGCTGTTATCCCAATTATACTGCCCATGTTTCTCTATCTTTTCCACAAGTATACTCCAATATTCCAGTAAATCCACAACTGGTCCATCATTGGTGTAGGCACTCCATCATTGGTAGAGATCACTAGTAAAAGTGAAATTCTGGGCATTACCTGTTCATTTTCCCTTCCTTCTTCATCTCTCTCATTTAATTCTTCTGTTTCTCCACTGTTTTGAACTTTATCATATTCAAATTACTATGGTTTATGGTTCAATGTGGAGTAAGAGTGTCATGTATCTGTGAAATGAGTATGTAGATAAGATCAAGAGTTCTGAATCTGTTTTTGATCTTCTCTTTTCCAGGTCAAATCATCAGAGTTCCTTTCATCTTTTCTCTAATCCCTTTGATCATCTCTGTGACCCTTTATCTTTCAGTGATGCGCTTTCTTCCTGTTCATGGGTTTACAACCTTATCAGGAGTTCCTAACCCTTCCTTGGAGATGGGCCTGTTTTCCAGACCCTTGGATGATACATTTACTTGACTTTCCCTCCTCCAGCTTTGATACCAACAAACATAGTTTAAAATCACATGTGGACAGACCATTCTTTCCTTCATTTCACCCCTACTCTTTTTTTTTTCTTTGTTTTTCTCAGGGAATGCTTAGCTTGTTTCATAGAACTTTGAAAACAGATAATTCCTTTTAAATGTTGAGCCTTGGTATCATTTCCAGAACATCTTTTAGTACTTAGTAATTATAAAATCCAGCCTCTACTTAAGTCAGCAGTAAAGAAATCTCAGATACAGCCTGTGAAGCTAAAAATATATAAGATTGAGGTTCTATATCCCTGACCATGACTAACACACACTTTATTTTTACTGTCAACATCTGGTCATCATTCCACTTGCTGATATAGGCTACTTTATAAAGCAAATAATTATATGTTGCTTCATGTAGATGACAAGAAACAATTAAGCAATAATTACAAAATAGAAGCAAATCCTTATTTTGTTACTTTTCAACCAAGGTAACATTTTTAGATCTTTAAATACTATTTTAGAATTAAGGGGGTTTTCTCCACTTTGTGAAGTCTCTCCATGTGTGTGTGGGTGTGTGGGTGAGGGAGAGGTGGGGTGTCAGTTTGGTTGATGAGTCAACAACCTTCAAAAATTATGAGTTGTATTTGCATTAATTAATGTTGTTTTATATACATATGTATGTTTGTGTTTATATATGTGTGTGTATATAAATGTATGCATGTATGTATATACATACATTTATTTATTTAATTTTTTGTGGGGAGATGTGGAGGTGGTATGGACTTGTGGCATTCATTGGCATAGGGAAATCCCAGAGTGGAAATTTCTTCCACTATTACACATCACCATCTTGTATGTTACTTAGAGTCTTCTGGAGTTGCCCTGAACACAGAGAATAACTTGACTTGTCCCTCATTACACGGCTAGCGTGTGTCAGAGGTAGCATTGAACCCTTTTCTTCTTAGCTCTGAAACTTACCTTCTTTCTATTATTCCATTCTTCTTTGTTCATGGTATGGTATTGGGAAAAATAACTAGGCTGAGTCAAATAATTTCTTCAGTTCTGTCATATTTGACTTTTCATGACCCCATTTGGGGTTTTCTTGGCAAAGATACTGGAGCGGTTTGTCATTTACTTCTTCAGCTCATTTTACAGATGGGGAAACTGAGGCAAACAGGGTTAAGTAACTTGCCCAGGGTCACACAGCTAGTAAGTGTCTGAGGCCAGATTTGACCTCATGAAGATGACTCTTCCTGATTCCAGGCCCAGCACTCCATCCATTTAGCTGCCCCTGGATGTACATACTTTTGAAAATTAGCTTTTTGTGTCTCAATTTTCTGATTTGTAAAATGATAATTCAAATAACTTTCCCTATGAACAGGAGACTAAGGAAGAACATGGATTAATCAACAATTTTTATAAAAGATAAGTCCTTTAATACCTACAGTATTATATGTACCTTGCATCAGAAGTTCAGAGGATTTTGGATTAACTGAGGAGTTCCAGAAAAAGCTAACAAACTTTTCTTCTGAAGTACAACAAAATACTACCTGAATGGTAGTTTAAAAAAAAACAAAACACCTCTGGGGCAGCTAGGTGGTGCAGTGGATAGAGCACTGGCCCTGAAGTAAGGAGAACCTGAGTTCAAATCTGGCCGCAAACCAAACACTTGACACTTACTAGCTGTGTGACCCTGGGCAAGTCACTTAACCCCAATTGCCTTAAAAAAAAAAAAAGAAGAAAAAAAATACCTCCCAAACAACTTAGTTCATGCCGTAGAACTACATTGAAAAGAAAACCAAGTTAGCATTTTGTTATAGAAAATCCTTTATAGATATTTATATAGCATGTGTGTGTATAATTTTATATAAAAAAAGAGAATAAGCATTTATATAGTGCCTACTGTGTGCCAGGCACTGTGCTTTTTACAAATATTATTTCATTTGACCAAAAATAATGATATAATCCTTGGAAGAGTCCTTTAGTAAGTATTCTATTAAATTTTTATTTGTAAAAAACTTGCATCTTTGTTGCTTCATGCCAATACAATATGTTATACTCAACTACTTTCACGGTATTTTAATGTGATATATAAAATGATTACTTTGGTCACAAACAGACTTAATAATATTTTAGCTATCATTAATGTGAAGTTGGATTCAGTAATATGTGAAACTTAAATAATTAACATT